GCCATCTGGTTTCAAAGGGTAGGTAACTTCCTGAGGTCCCTTCCAGCCAGGAAGAGGTGGTTGGCCAAGCTTCCCTCTACCACTCCAATAGCTGCATCTGCAGTTTGACGTCATTTTAACTACCATGGCTCAATGCTATGGGATTCTTGGATTTGCACTTTTGTGTGACATGTAGCCTTCTCTGTCAGACAGCTTTGGTGCCACAACAGACACATCCCAGGATTCCATACCAATGAACCATGGCAGTTAAAATAGTGTCAAACTGCATTATTTCTGCAGTGCAAAGGCAGGCAGTGTTTCAGGATGTGCATCTCATCTCCCTTAAGTTTAGGAGTGCTCAGTCTTGGACTACATGGACTATGGATGGCAACTCCTGTTTTCCTTGAAAGCACCAATGATGATAACTGTGGGGTGTAATTTAAGTTTCCCAGGGTTTTAATCATTTTTAAAGCAAACGTAAGTATACAAATGTGAAAGATTAACCTGTTAGTCTGTCTTCCATCATCAGTACAGTAGAAACGTGACCCTGAATATCTTTATCTAAACTTGCTTCCCTAAAGTATGAAGACTGACTCAGAAAGACAACAAACATGTAGTTTGTAGTTTAAAAACAAATAATAATGACTTTAATAAATAAATACATAACAAACTAAATCCTATCCTAACTGGTGATGATTTGGGTAAAGAGATGAAATCTCACTATCTTTAATATAGCAGGAAGAAGAGAAAAACCCTATTGCTACTGCAGAGAAGAGATGGTTACTTCTACTCTCTGAGAGGAGACAGTTACTGTATTGACAGGAGACTGTTTAGAATCCTGAGAGAGAGTCTGTTAAACAGTCTCCAAGAGTAAATGACCAAAGTCACATGTTTAGATAGAATGAGATAGATAGAGGGAACTCTCTGTCTTACTCATCTCCTTTAAGTTTACTCTTGTTTTCCTTGAAAGACCCACTGATGATAACCCTGCCCTGCTGTTGGTCAGGTGGCTGGTTTGCCACATCATCACAATAGGCAATGCCTGGACTTCCTCTTGATTGGTCGCATTGCATAAGGCAGAATAATGGACGGAACTACTGATCAATGTTCCTTGTTCTCCTTTCCATAAGGTATGGATGAAAAGTCCATCATCTGATGTAAGGAAGAGCCAGAGTGATTGCTTCAATGGCTTGTGGTGGATGTTTGTGATGTGAGACATACTGCTATTTCTTCTGGATTGTCACATTGAAAAGGTAGTTACTAAGAAAAAGGAGAAAAAGGATGGATAGGCTGTTCCAAAATACTCTATTTGCAGCATAAACACCATTAAAGTTACCATTAAACCCTTACAAACTTACTCTTCACTTTTTAGAAACATTGATTCTGAACCACTCAGAAAAATATCTACCCTCAAAGTGAAAGATAATGCATTGCTTGCTTGCAGCAAACTGTTCACTAGCTCTTGATCAACATCACCAATAGATTCTAACAAGGATTTTAATCCAGTTTAATTACTTTTAGCAAATATTGCCAAATTTCAAAACCATTTACCATTTAAACCTGAAATTTCCCCAAGTCTGTGCACATGCAGAGCTTGGAAAAGTTACTTTTTGGAGTAACTGGCTGGCTGGGAGCATTGGGGACATATGCACAGTATAAACCACAGTATAAATCATTCTGTCATGATATAACTGTACCTCAGTATTTGGGAAGACCTCTTTAGGATATCCTTCTGATGGTTCACCTTGGCAACATAAAAGTAGAGTTCTGCCCTCTTACTCAAAAGTGGCATTAGTGATTTTGTAAAGAATTAGCGGATACATGTTACCCTTCAAAGTGAATATCCTTTAGTTCATTGTAAGTATGCTCCAATCCTTGTTCAGTATGTGAGAAAGTGGATACTTCATTGTTTTTGTCAGCAGTGCCCCCAAATGTTCAACAATAACCCCCTATGCTGGTTCAGATCCAAGATTATTTTGTAGCCTTTCACCACCAAATTCAAGTTCATTTTATTTATGTCCAACATGGAGACGACGCTCACAAAGCCTAAACACTTTCACCCACTCTTCTATATGTTGCTAAATGTATGCACATCAGTATAGATTCCCTGGCTTTTCATTGACTTGTTTTTCAAATGGATTTGCTATAGTGTGTTGTTCTTCTTGTTTTTCAGGGTAGTAGCTTGAATTCTGCTACCTTTGGATGGTCTCTCACTATTTTAAGGTAGCTTTCTATAATGTTTGGTTTGGGCAGATGACATTTTATCTAAACCTGCTTGCCATTTAGGAGGTTATAGAGGTAGGAACTGGCAAATCAGCAGCCTCCGTGTGTTGCTTGCCTAAGAAAACCCTATGAAATTCATGGGGTTGCCATAAGTTGATAGGTGACTTGAAAACATGCTCAAAATGGTCAGCAGCCAGGCTTACTGATTCATTTAAACTGTTTCTGAGATAAATCCACATATTAACCCTACTTCAAGATGTATGCAAGGATATTCTGTAATTCCATCTAATCAAATTCCATTAATTCAATCTAATCTTCCTGGCTTGAAGAAATCTGAGGTTGTGCAGGTAGTTTCAAGGTTCTGATAGTCTCAGTAAAATGATTCTGATAGTCTCAGTAAAAACAAACAAATAATATACAACATGCATTAAGGTATTCAGCAGCAAGAGTAGAAACAAACTTTCTAAAGCTGAATATTACAAAAGCATTGTGAATACTGCTAGAAGATATATTTTCTGCATTTCTAAGCACCAAGGAGTAAGTGCCACTGAAGCAGTGGTTCTGGCTAGATATGCATAGTTTTGTGCCAGGGTTGCTGGGTGAAACACAGGACTCTTGTATCTTTAATAACTGTTGGGTTGGGAGAAAATTTCAGCAGGTTTTGTTTTGTCAGGAACGCTATGTTGTGCATAAAATGATATTAAAAATGTGTTTTTTTCCAAAGACTTTGTCATAGAATAAAGTGAAATTACACCTCTAGCTACACTTAGGCTGATATTAAATAGCATATTTTATTTATAATATGTTGGTTTATCAATTGACTGATAGTTTATTTAATCTAAATCCCATCTTTCTCCCCAAAAATGAGACTCAAGTCTTCCCACAAGAAGACTAAAAAAAGGCCAGCTGTAAGTATAAACACAAACAATATCAAAACATGGCTAAACAAATTATAGTATTGAAACACAACTAAATTAAAATCAATCTAAACACATATCAGTGGACAACACCGAACTGTTAAAAGGTCATTCCCTTAAAAGACACTCAATTGCCGAAAGCCATCCTGAATAAAAAAATGGTCTTTAGGTGCAGCAGGACGAACCACAGGGATATAACAGCAGCTATCATGAAGCTCTTAAATTAAAACATAGTAAAGGCAGGGCTTGTTAAAGTTTTCCTTTTTGGACTACAGCTCCCAGAGTGATGATGCTGATTGAAGAATTCTGGGCAATCATTTCCAAGTTCTGCAACTACAATACTTTAATTATTGATCTAGGCCAGAATCCAAAGAATGTGAGAACTATTTCCATGTGCTGATGGGAGAGGGAAAGTCTTCTGTTTCTTGAACAGCAGCCCACTGTGCCAGACAGCACACTGTGTTTTGGCAGAATGGATCTGCGAGGCTGGCATAAGCCTTCAGACACACCTAAAATAGCAGTTTGCATCCTGGCCATGGTACAACTGCTGTGAATATTGTTGAGTCTTGCAGCAACACATGCAGGCAAGCACAAATAATATAAGGCTTCTGAAAGGTAAAGTGTACAGAATCAGATCAGTAATGGAAAGAGGATTAGTTCAATGAATAAATTGGGATTACAATGTGATTTCCCATTAGTTTGCGCTAATGGACTATAAGCACTTAGATCAATATTTCCAAACAAAGCCAGTATGAGTGGAATTGACATTCAACAGTTTATAAACTGAGAGGCCACAGGATAATATGTCCTATCAAGGACAACCAAATGTTGTTTGAAGTTTGAGCCAATCTCACAGTTCAACATCCAAGAGAAATTAATGTGTCTTTGGTCTCTCATTGACCAACTATTTTCGTCAGTGTTGACTATGAAGCTTATTGCACAGTTAATTAAATCTCCTTACCTGATCCAGTTTAAATTTTAAATTGGGCTGCATCCAGAGCCTATCACAAGGATTTAGCCACTGAAATCACCCCCAGGTCTATCCTGGGTCCATCCCTACTCCCAGGGCCACTCAGCGCGGCTTTTTTTCAAAGCTGAGAGTTTTCTGGCTTGAGAAAATGGCCACCGGAGATGCCCTGGGAATGGGGATGGACCTGGACAGCAATTTTGGTGGCTAAATCCTTGTGATAGGCTCTGGATGCAGCCTGATTTAAAATTTAAACTGGATCAGGTAAGGCAATTTAATTAACTGGGCAATAAGCTTCTATATCTGTTTGGTATCATCTCATGTCTTGCTTTCTTTAGGTATGTGCATTTTGACATATTGTCACAGATGCTTAAACACACAGGAAACAAAGGAAACAAAAATAAAAATATGTTACGTCCATTATATGAATATGTAAATTTGCAGGCTTGTTACTGCAATATTTCCTTGCAGGCATTCACTTATTGTGGCTGGCTGGAGGGCCAGCTTATGGTTTGTCCAAACAATTTGGGAAGAGTTTCAGGGGCTGCATTCCAGCAGTGGGCAGGATTTAGGGACAGGGTAGGACTGGAGCAAAGGGACAGGGTAGGACTGGAGCAAAGTGGGTTCCTACCACTGCAACCTCTCCTTACCTGACATATGTTAAGGCCACCTTTATCATCTGGTCTTCTTAAAATGAAAAACTTGAGAAGATCCACTTTTGTTCTGCCATCAATCTGAGCTTAGACCAGTTCACACAAGTACATTTTTGATACTATTTTGCAGTTTGTTGTTGTTGTTGTTGTTGTGTGCCTTGAAGTCATTTTTGACTTATGGAGACCCTAAGAAAAACTTAGCATGGGGTTTTCTGGGGCTGAGTGTGTGTGACTCATCCAAGGTCACCCAGTAGGTTTCTCTAGCTGTGCAGGGTATCAAACACTGGTCTTCAGAGTGGAAGTCCAACACTCAAACCACTACACCATACCAGCTCTCTTATTGTGCAGTTGCACAAGGGATGACCACCACATTATTTAATACCAAACAGTCAAACAACCAACCACCAATCAATACACATGCTTATAGCACAAACTCCTTGGTAACAACAGTTCTACTGGCAGCCAGTTTATTTCCAAGCACAGTTCAAAGTTCTGGTTATGACCTATAAAGCTCGATGTGGCCCAGATCCAGGCTGTCTGAAGAGCCATATCTTTCTATATCAGGCTATCTGAGGTCTGAAAGCATAAGGTTTTCTCTACATCCCATCACCTTCATGGACACATCTGGTGGGAACATGAGAGAGGGTCTTCTTGGTGTATGGTCTCAGGTTTTCAAACTCCCTCCCTTAGGGAGGCTAGGATCATTCCGTCTTTGTTATCCTTACACTGTTGAATTCCAGCAAGTTTTTTGGGACTTTTAACAGTATGCTTTTCTAATTATTTTCAACATTTTCTTCATTACTGGATTTGTTATTAATGGTTTTAATGCTATAATGTCATCATATTTCAACAATAACTTTTTATATATTTTTCCTACATGTTTCTGTATGTTTTCCTCTGTCTTTTGGTTTAATTTTTGTAAGTTGTTTTGAGGAAAATGTAGATATAAATTACTTAACTACAGCAATGAAAATAACAACAATTTGTTTATGACTTCCACCCATAAACATCACAAGTTGTGTTGATAATAGCCAAGCTTTATAGTACAACCACATCTATCAAGAGAGTATTCACAACACAAAGCTTTACTGTTGGAAAAATAATGTTTTGCATTCTCCTTTTCTTTCTTAGTTAGTCAGGATTTCACCTCTCCCCCTTTCTCATTCTAGCTGTCAATCTGAAGAGACAGTTTAACTGACTCTCTGAACATTCTAAATAGCCAGTCTCAGTCAGTAACTGAGACAGCTGTCTGTCACAGTCCTCTCTGAGGGAGATTAACATCTGTCTTTCTGCTTTATAAATGCCAATTAAATTAGGTTTTAGTTCTTTTATGTAAATATTTATTAAAGCCATTATTGTTTGTTTTTTAAATGACAAACTACATGTTTGTCTTTTTGAGTTAGTCTTTATTCTTTAGGAAGACAGATTTAAAGTAATAGTCTGACCCACATTTTTGCTGCTCTGCTGATGAAAGTGAACTCTAACAAGTTTAACTTTCATACCTGCATATTTTAGTTTACCTCTAAAAGAGTTAACACCCTGGAAACTAAAATTGCAACCCCACATTTTTGGGTTATGGGCCCAGTTGATCTCCCAAAAGGGGTCTCAGTTTAGACTCAGTGTGATCTCAGAAGAGGTTCCAGATTATTTTTAAACTGTTTCTCTTGAAGATAATGACTTCAAGAAAAATATTTTTTTCTGCTCAACCAATAGAAAATAGCTTCAACTAATCCTAATTCCACAATGATCAGTGAAATACTAACTGGAACAAATTATAAAATGTGGTCATGGAAAATGCAAATGTTCCTGACTATTTAAAGCAATAAATTGGCAGAGACCCATAGAAGTAGGAATACATCAACAACAGTTTGATGAAGATGTGGAGAAAGCATCAGCATATATATATATATACTTGTCTGTAGATTCCAGCATTGCTTACCATATACAAGGTTTAACTGATGCAAAACAAATATGGGACAAACTACAGAAAGTATTTAATTCTCCAGGTACTTCAAATCAGACAGCTCTCATAATCAAACTTGTTAACACCAACTTGCATCATCCTTAATTTTTAAATCAGCATATTAATAGCTTTATGACAACTTTGTCTGGAATTACATCAGCTGGAGAATCTTTTCCAAAACATGCAAAATTTGGACTGTTGTTTTTTTTGGCAAGTCTTTGATGATATTACTCTCCAATAATGAATACTTTACAAGTTAAAGGAGTTGTTTCTTTATAAAATGTCATTACTCAAACTGTTGAATTTCAAAATAAGCAAAACTTGGTGGAAGACAACTATAATGCAAAAACAACAGACAGAAAATTTGTTGCAGAGGATTTAAAAAAGACTTCCTTTTCTTCCAGATCAAATAGAAATAATGTTAACAAGTGAAAACCTAGAGGTGAGCTGCAGAAGCTGCAAAGTCAGGTACTGAATACCAAAAGTAAATGCAACTTTATGAAAGAAGCTTTTAATCCTAAACAGAAATCTTCCAGTCATGTTGATATCAGTTTGATTCAAGAACAGTTATTTCAAATTGCTGGAGATAAATATAAAGACCAAGTTCTAATTAATAGTGGAACAAGTGTACATTACTTCAACAACAAAAAATGGTTTGTTGATTTTGATCCAAGTGTAACATTTCCTGTCTAATCTTGCTAATGGTCAAGAACTTTTTGCACAAGGAAAAGGGGCTGTTATTTTGAAAACAAAACTTGGTCCTAACAGAATAGGAGCTTTAAAAATCCCAATGTTTATTATGTACTGGATTTGAAAGCCTCCTTCTACAGTGTGCAAACCACAACATCAAGAGGCAACTGTGCCAGTTTTAGGAAGCAAAGCTGTTTTGGTTTTCATGGCAAAAATTTGATTTTTAGAGCAGATTTAGGATCTCATGGATGTTATAAGATGCAAATTTTACACTCATCTGTGAACAGTGTGACCAGATGTAATCACAAAGACTGTTCAACTTTATGGCATTGCAGATTTGTTCATCGAAGTATTGAAAATATGAAGAGACTGGCAAATCAAGAGCTTGCAAGAGACTTTAAATTCAAAGTATACTCTAACAATGAAAAATGTGTAGAATGCTTGAAAGCAAAAACCACAAGAGCTTCAAATCCTCCAGTTACTGAGAGACAATCCAACAAGGCATTGGCTCTTTAATATGGTGATCTTTCTGGACCAATGAATCAAAAGTCAGCAGGAGGTAACTCTTATTTTATGACCATTATTGATGACTTTAGCAGATACACTTATACTTAACTTCTCAGAAAGAAGAGTCAAGCATTTCAGAAATTCAAAGAGTACTTT